TTCATTCACAGATACCTGTTCCCAGCAGGGCGCCCAGTGGGCTGGGAGAGGAGACAGAACAGCACGCACTATAGACGCTGCACATGCACACACACACACACACACAGGGCCTGGGCGGAGGGGTTGGGGAGGCAGGCCTAAGGCTGAGTCCTGAAGAAGAGAGATGAAGGCCCTGTGCGGAGGCTCTGAGGGACCAGGGTACAGGGGCCGTGCTCCGGGCTGGCCAGGCTCTGCGATGTGTCAGGAGAAAGCGGGGTCCTGTGGGTAAGCTCATGCAGGTCTGAATGAAGCCGTGTGGAGCTGCAGGCCTTGTCAGAGCCTTTAACCTGTTCCCCTGCGGGTGAGTGGTGGAGTATCCGGGACTCATGCTCATGGCAGGCTCCAGGGCATAAAGACAGGGGAGGCCGGGGAGCAGGTGGGGTCAGAGAGAAGCAAGGGGCTTCAAATGCCAGGATGGAAGGCTGGACTTGCCCCTGGGGCCAGTGAGGAGCCTCAGAAGGCACTCAACGGAGGGAGTTAGACTCAGCACCTGGGCAGCTCAGTGAGCAGCGAGGTCAGGGCAGCAGCAGGCAGCCAGCCCCTCCCGCCACCCGCTCCTGATGGCCGCTCCGTGGGGAGAGAGGAATCGTGCACACGGGCAGCAGCGGCCAGAGACAGGCTAGAGGGGAGAGGCGCGGCCCTGGAATCCAGGTGCGGCCGAGAGCCGTGGGGGACCCGAGGCTGCTCCAGGGCGAGCCGAGTCCACCCCTCCCAGCCGGGGCGCTGGCTGCATCTCCAGGGAGGGGGCATTTTTTACAGCAGTTTTAAGTTTCTGGAAAAATTGTGTCCAAAGAGCAGAAGGTTCCCTGTATTTCCTTCCTGTCCCCACATAACAGCGTGTGGCCCATTTGCTACAGCCGAGGAACTAGCATCTGTACATTATCGTTAACTGAGTCCGTGGTGTGCAGTACAGCTCACTCTGCTGTACAGTCTGTGGATTGTGGCAAAGCACCATGTCAGGCCCAGCATCGCGGCGTCACACAGAACAGCGTCAGCGCCCCAACGGCCCCTGTGAGCCGCGTCTTAACGTCTGTGAGACGGAGTGTGAGGCTCCTCCGAACCCTCAGCCTCCGCTGCGGTCCCTAACGCAGTCCTCGGGCAAATTAAACGGGTCAGAAATCAGCTAACGTCTCTCTGCACATGGCCCCACACCTATCGGAACCACTAGGCTCTGGTTGGGGGGAAGGGGCCTGCATTCCGACAATCTAGTGGCTCCCCCCCAGGCCCCTGAATCCGAACCCCGGGCGGGCCCAGGAAGGGGCTCTTGGCCAGGCCCCTGTGCACAGGGCGGCTTAGACAGGCTGGCCCAGGGCAGGGACAGCAGGGCCAGCTCCTGAATGTGGGCGGGGACGCGTCCTACCAGCTGCCCAGACCTCAACAGAAGGGTCCCAGCCGTCTCAGGTCAGGGGTGGGCGGACGGACACTCCCCGCGGGAGGCGCAGAGCGGTGCTCAGTAAAGCCTGGGAGAGCCCGTTTCCACTCGCAGCTCCATCAGCAGGCCTGCCGTCTCAGGCTTGTGGCCTATCACTCCTCCCGCCCGACCCCCAATAGCCCGCAGGCAGCATCTCTGCAGCCGCGCTCCCTCCACCACCTTCTTAACTCAGCAGCCGAGCATGCTGGCTCCACGGCCAGCGCCCGGCGGGAAGGCCCCCCCTTGTGGCCATCGCGAGGGGCTGCATAGTGCTCCCCACCGTCATGTCCACCCGGCATCAGGAAGCAGCCTCGTGTGGAAATGGCTCTCTGCGGGGTAATGAGGAAGGACTGAGATGCGATCACACCAATGGACCCTACTTGTACTAGCTGGTGTTCTTCTAAGAGGGGAGGACAGCCGAAACCGGTGTGGCTCAGTGGATAGAGCGTCGGCCTGCGGACTGAAGGGTCCCAGGTTCGATTCCGGTCAAGGGCATGTCCCTTGGCTGCGGGCACATCCCCAGTAGGAGGTGTGCAGGAGGCAGCTGATCGATGTTTCTCTCTCATCGACGTTTCTAGCTCTCTATCCCTCTCCCTTCCTCTCTGCAAAAAATTAATAAAATATATTTTTTTAAACAAAAAAGAGGGAAAGACAGACACAGGAGATGGCCCAGCGAAGACAGAGGCGGAAAGTGGGCCGAGGCAGCTACCAGCCAAGGGCGCCCGGACCCCGGCGGGCGCCCGCAGGGCTGAGGAGGCTGGAAGGTTCCTCCCGGACCCTCGGAGGGAGCGCGGCCCGCGGACACCTCGGCTTCAGACGTCAGAATCGGGACAGCACACGTCTCTGTTGTTTTAAGCAACCAGTCCGTGGTCAATTTTATGGCTGCCCTCGCAGTGGATACACCATCGCTGAGGTGGGCCTACCCCGGCCCTGCCCGCCCTCCTCCCCCACCGCCGAGGACCCCCGGAGGGACTGTCCAGGCGGCACGAAACTCGGCCGCGCAGTCAGGGGGGTTTCCTCCAGCCAGCATCCTCCGCCAGCCGACATCCCTCCCTTCTGCCTCCTCTGGGGACGAGGCCCTCTGTCCTCTGCGGGAGGATAACTAGCGTCCACGGAGCGCTGGGCGGCGACGGGCAAACGCGGTCCGGCGGAGGCGGAGTGCGCGCGGGCCGCCCTACAGCTTCATGCCGCTCCGGCGCCTCGAGTCCTTGCGGGCGATGGGGCTGAAGCTCACGATCTCCTTGTAGATGTGCTCTGAGGGAGGAGGGCGGGGCGGGCTGAGGGAGGAGGGCCGTCCCTGCCCGGGAGGAGGACACGGCGGAGACAGGGTGGAGCGGGGCCGCGGTGTGGGCTCCAGGGGCGGAGGGGGCCGGGGGGCCAAGGCTAAGAGGAGGGAGCGGCCCGGTCTTACCCTTCCATTCGTCCACGGTGAGCTTCTCGTGCTCTAAGGAGTCATCGAATTTCTGGGCCTCCGTCTCCTCCTCGGGGTCCCGGAAGGGTTCGAAGAAGGGGTGGGCGAGGGCCTGCGCGGCCGTCACGCGCTTGTCCACGTCCAGCTCCAGCATCTTCTCCAGCAGGTCCGTGGCTGCGGGAGAGAGGCGCCTCGCACCGGGCCTGGGGGAGGCCAACACCGCCCCCCACCTCCTCCGGACAGGTGCAGAGGCCGCCGGCTCACCCTGCGGGCTGGCGCCGGGGAAGAGCTGAGAGAAGTCCTTCTTGGGGCTCTGGGGCAGCGACTGGATGTAGGCTTTGGCCTGAAGACAGAGGAGCACTGAGTGGTCTGGTCAGCCCCCGCGCTCAGGCCCGGGAGGGGGAGGAGGGGGGGAGCGGAGTCTGGAGAGCAACAGGCTGAGGGCTCCGGTCAGTCCACAGTGGATGGAGGCAAAGCACCTGCCCCCTCAGAGGGAGCCAGGGAAGCCCTCCCCTCCCTTTCCCTCCCGTCCCCTCCAAAGGCTGCCCCGCCTGCCCCGCCTGCCCTCTGCCCCCTGCCCCGCCGCCCGGCCACTGCCACTCACCGCTTTGTCCTTCAGCTTCTGCACGAACTCTGCCCCCGGCACCCCGGTCACCTTCAGGATCTGGGTCAGCTGGTCCAGGTCTGGCAGCAGGTTAAGGCTCAGCCTCACTCGCTTTTGGCGGATCGGGAGCTGCCCTCCCCAGCGGCCGTCAGCACCCCCTCCCGGCCCTGCAGCGGCCTCCCCCCGCCCCCCCCAGGCGCCTTCCCGCCTCCTCCTGCTTGGGGGGAGGTTCGGAGGTTCTGCTCCGGACACAGGTCTCTGGAAGGCCCCCCAGCCACCCCCATACCCCGCCCCCAGCCCCCAGCGGGGCCAGGGTGAGGGCCCTCCCTCCCCCAAGTGCTGCTGGCTTCCTGCTCTGCCCTCACCCACTCGGTCACGCTCACAGGTCCCTGCCGCCTCCCACCCTCACCCCCTGCGCTGGCAGGCAGACCGGCCCCTCACCCACGCCTGCAGGCACACGGCCCACAGCGAGCGTGTGGGGCCCACGCGTGAAGTGTGTCCTGCGTGGTGGAGGAGACACGGGGGCTGCCACTCACTGTGTGCCCACCTGTTCTAAAGACTGTACTACAGTGAGCAGCGTCCCTTTCCCTATAAGAACAAACAGACTTGCCGAAACCGGTTTGGCTCAGTGGACAGAGCGTCGGTCTGCGGACTGAAAGGTCCCAGGTTCGATTCCGGTTGGGGGCATGTGCCTTGGTTGCGGGCACATCCCCAGTGGGAGGTGCACAGGAGGCAGCTGATCGATGTTTCTCTCTCATCGATGTTTCTAGCTCTCTATCCCCCTCTCTTCCTCTCTGTAAAAAATCAATAAAATATATTTTTTTAAAAAAAGAAGAACAAACAGACTAAGAAGGCGTCTGAGGAAGGGAGGGCCCCTGGCTGGACGCTGGCTTCCCGGCAAAGGATACAGTCTTTCCCCTTGAACAGCGTCTTCCCCGTCAGCATCTCCGCCATGATGCAGCCCACCGACCAGATGTCCACTGCCGGGGGGGAGGGGGTGTCACCGGGCGCCGGCCACGCCACGGGCAGCCACCCAGAGGGGCCAGACGGCCTGGGGGGCTGCGGGGGTCCCCGCCAGCCCAGGCCCCGCCCGGCCGGGAGCACTGACCGGTGTGGTTGTAGTGCATCCAGCTGAGGATCACCTCGGGCGCCCGGTACCAGCGCGTCACCACGTAGCCGGTCATCTCGGCGTCCAGGTGCCGCGCCAGCCCGAAGTCCAAGATCTACGACGGGGAACGGGAGGGCGCTCGCTGAGGAGGGAGGCTCTTGGAGCAGCTTGGGGGGGGGGGGGGCTTCTGCGGGAGGGGGGTCCATCCCCCACTCCCTCCCGCCCCGGCCGGCCCCGCCCGGGCCCTCACCTTCAGCTCGCAGTCCTCGTTCACAGCGAGGTTGCCCGGCTTCAGGTCCTGGAGGAGAGGACGGGACGAGCACCAGGCGACAGGCCGATGGGAGCGTGTCCCGTGGCCAGGCCCAGCGTGCGGCCTCCCCACACGCCCCACGGGGGTCACCCTCCCTGTGTGCACAGGAGGCCCAGGCCGCAGCTCTGAGGCTCCCGGAACACGGGCTCTGCTGGCCCTGCTCACACCACTTCCCCCGAAGGTCCCAGTGCACAGCAGCTCTGCGGAGCAGGGCTCCTAGGCCGAGGCTGGGCCTGAAAGCCCACCGCCCGTGTCCCCGGGACCATGCCCGCCCTCCCCTCCCCCCTCCCGGCTGTGGGGAGCCCAGGGCGGGGGCGGGAGCGTCTCGGACTCAGCACTCACCCTGTGGATGACCCCGGCCGAGTGGATGTACTGTGGGGGAGGGAGGGGAGAGCAGGGTGGGTCCGTGCGCTGCTTCACACCAGGCTCCTCATCAGCTCAGAACCCGCCCGCCCCACAGGCCCGGCCCCCTGACCCTCAGGGCCCACCCCTCTGCCCGCCATCCTGCAGTGCCCACCCACCTTCAGGCCCTTGAGCATCTGGTACACCAGGTACTGGATCTTGTCCTCGCTGAACTCCATGCCCATGATCTTCTGCAGGTCCGTCTGCATGAATGGCATCACCAGGTAGCTGCAAGGCACAAGGGATTCATGGATCCTCCGAGTCTCACCCAGCCCCGGTCTGAGCTCATAGGAGGGGGAGGGGCTGGGACAAAACGGGGCCCAAGCGATGCCCTCCAGAACCGCCCAACCACAGCCAGCCAGCCAGCTCCCCACACTCCCCACCCCCCACCCCACGGGCCTCCTGGCTCTGCAGGGGCCGCCCAGCTGGCGGAGCTCAGCGGGAGCATCTCAGCTGGACCGCGCTCAGGAAAGCCAAAGGAAGCTGGTTCCCTCTCTTCCCAGTGCCCTCGCCTCGCCTCCTCTATGCCCCATAGAAGCCAGAGCTGTGCGCTAGAAACTTCTCTCAACATTTCCCTCTGCTTCTGTCCAAACTGTCTCTCTGGTGGAAACCAAGATGGCGGCTTAGGTAAATGCCTAACTGCAGCCTCACACAACAATTTCAAAAATACAACTAAAATACAAAATGGACATTACCCAGAACTACAGGAAAGTTGACTGACTGGAAATTCTACAACTAGAAGGAAAGAGAAAATCGGAAGGAAAATCAGAGGAGCTGCAAAAGCCTAAGGTATGGAGACACGCTGCGCGTGGGGAGAGGACGGAGCCGGAGAGGAGGGGGAGGCTGAGTGCCTGGCTGGCGTTCCCTAGCGGGAAGGAGATAAAAGCTCCGGACTGTGCTGAACCCCAGATCCGACAGCGCTGGACCCCAGTTCTGGGTAAGACCCTGGGGACCCAGACACATACAGAGGGAGTCTGGGCTGTAAGGCAGAAACCCAGGGGAGCGGCGAAAGGCAGTCCCGGAGGCGCGCACATTACGCAGAGGACGGACTGTTGACTCTGCTGTTAGATTGCCCTAGCGGGAAAGAGACAAAAACTCCAGACTGCTCTGAACCCCACTTCCAGCCCCACTTCCAACTGAACTGAACCCCAGTTCCGGGCTCATTGGGGGAGAGCCTAGACTGTTTGGTAGCGGGCGAAACTCGAGAGCACCTTTCTCTCAGAGGTGCTTGCAGCGAGTACCAAAGGACACTGAGGAACACTGAGACTCAGGAGCCTCATAGGGTGGGGCTGAGGGGAAGCCAAGGCTCTAGGCTCCACCCTGAAACTCCGCCCCATCCAAGCTGAGCACAGAAACTTTTGCAATTTTCCAAGTCTAGTCAAATAAGGCTGTCTCCTGGCATTGACACAGCTGATCCTCACAGCCAATTGGCCTGGAGGTCAGTTCCTCCCAGTGATACCAACAACAATCAAGACTTAACTACAACAAGGCTGTACACACAGTCCACAATAGGGGGCACCAAGAGTGTCCACCTCAGGTAACTGGGAGACTGAACCACTGAACCATATAGGACACCTTAGCACACAAAGTCACCTACCAACTCAGGGAAGCTGTGAAAATGCCAAGACAAGGAAACAGATCACAAAGGAAAGAAATGGAGGACAAAAAGAGACTGGATATAGAATTCAAAACCACTCTTATAAGGTTTCTCAAGAATTTCCTAGAAAAGGCCAATAAGATAAATGAGACCTATGAGGATATGAAAAGGGATCAACTAGAATTAATAAGGGATCAACTAGAAATAAAAAATACATTATTTGAAAGAGAAAACATTATTCAGAGTCCTAAAAACAGAATGGAAGATTGCAAGAATCAAGCCAAAGATTTGGAACATAAAGAGCCAGAAGACACTCCTCCGCAGAAGCAAGAAGACAAGAGAATCCAGAAAGTTGAAGATAATGTAAGAAACCTCTGGGACAACTTCAAGCGAACCAACATCAGAATTATGGGGGTCCCAGAAAATGAGAGAGAGCAAGATACCGAAAACATACTGAAAGAAATAGTGACAGAAAACTTCCCCCACCTGGTGAAAGAATTAGACTTACAAGTCCAGGAAGCGCACAGAACCCCAAACAAAAGGAATCCAAAGAGGACCACACCAACACACATCATAATTAAAATTCCAAGAGCAAAAGACAAAGAGAGAATATTAAAAGCAGCAAGAAAAAAGCAGGTAGTTACCCATAAAGGAGCACCTATACGATTGTCAGCTGATTTCTCAACAGAAACCATGCAGGCCAGACGGGAATGGCAAGAAATATTCAAGGTGATGAATAGCAAGAACCTACAGCCAAAAATATTATACTCTACCCAGCAAAGCTATCACTCAGAATTGAAGGCCAGATAAAGAGCTTCACAAATAAAAAAAGCTAAAGGAGTTCATCACCGCCAAACCAGAATTATATAAATTGCGGAAAAGGAAGAAAATAAAGATAAAAGTTATGAACAACAAATACGTAACTATCAACAAGTGAATCTAAAAACCAAGGGAATTAAAAAATCTGATGAACAATATTAACTGTTGAATATAATAGAATCAGAGGTATGGAAGGGGAGTGAACTGACGATTCTTGGGGAAAAGGGGAGAGGAGGATGTGGGAAGAGACTGAACATAAACTGTGCACCTATGGATGAGGACAATGGGGGGTGGGGAAAGGGCAGAGGGTGGGGTGGGAACCTGGTGGAGAGGAGCAATGAAGGGGGGGGAAAGAAGGGACATTTGTAATAATATGAACAATAAATATTTATTAAAAAAAAAAAAGTCTCTCTGCCAGAGGTCACGCCTGGCTGAGATGGCTCTAGGAACAACCAAAAGGTCTCCCCGCCAAGAAGGAAACAAGAAAACAATTCCCAGGAGGGCGGAAGAAGGAAGGAGGAGGTGGCTAAGCGCTGCACCCTCTTAAGGAATTGCAAAACAGATCGAGGTCAGCAAAATGCAACTGTTCTCCGTAGCAACAGCAAAGTCCAGAACAAAAAATGATACAGACTGAAGAAGGAACATTAAGGGGGGGAGGCCACCTGCTGAACCTGTGACCTTCTGCAGCCTCTACCCGACCACACCCTCCCCTGCTGGCCCTGCTCCTCACAGCCCCTCCCGCCTGGGTCCTTCCCTTCCAGGAGACCCTGTTCCTCCTTCTGGGCCCACAAACGTGCTGAAGTCTCACCGTGCCAGAACTACCTTCCTGTGGCCCTGTTTCTTAAATAACTGCCCGTTCTCTCCCCTTCTCTCCCCCCAAACTTCTACACAGAGTGGTCCATGCCTCCTGACCCCACTGCCTTCAACCCCAGGCCTCCCACAAGCTGGCGTCTGCTCTGGCTGCACCACCAAAGCTGCTCTGGTCAAGGTCACTAATATGGCCCGCCTCCCGCCAGCTCCCTCCCTTCCTATTTGACCTTCTGCAGAGTCTGACTGCCTCTCAAGATTCTCTGCCCACCTGCTCTGCCCTGATCAGGTGGCTCAGCGCGTCACCTGCTCATCCTCTGGGACCTCAGCGATGCTACCGTCATCAGCAGCACCGCGCGGGCTCTGTGCCGCCTGTCCTGGGCCTTGGCTGTCACCCATGGGTGATTATTCCAACTCAGATCCCGTTCCTAGCCCAGATCTTTTTACAACTTCTGAGTAAACACTTAACCATTCACAGATTCTTCAAAAGTAAAGTGTCCAAAATGGAGTTCAGTATCTTTCTCCCACTATCTGTTCCTCCTCCACCTTGGATTCCAAGCGGGAATGTGGCACGCCCCGACCTATGCAGCCCTCCCAGCTCCGGTCTGCTCTCCGCACCCATCACCTCTCCTCTGTAGATCAAGGTCTGGGTCTTGAACTCACCCTCCAGTTCCCCCCTCCTGGAGCAGCTCCTTCACCCTTTCCTGCTGCCACCAGAGTACATCCCCCAAATCTGGTCTCACCCCCTGTTCAAAACCTCCATGGACAGTTTTCACTAAGAAAACTATCCTGTTTTCTTAACCTGTAGGGTTAATTCTAAGAAAACAGGACAGACGCATGCAAAAAAGACAGAAGGAAGGAAGGGAGGAAGAAAGGAAGGAAGAAAGGAGGAAAGAAAGAACTAGGTCACATTCTTACACCATATACAAGAATAACTCCAAATGATTAAAAACTTAAATGTAAGTTCTGAAACCATAAAACTCTTACAAGAAAACATAAGCAGCAAATTCTCTGACACTGCACTTAGTATTTGAACTATATATCTCAGGTTCATATATTGGAATCCAAGGTGGAGGAAGAACAGGTCTTAGGAGAAAGATACTGAACTCCACTTTGGACACTTTACTTTCGAAGAACCTGTAAACAGTCAAGTGATTACTCAGAAGTTGCAAATAAATCTGGACTACCTGGGAAGAGGCACAAAAAAATGAGACTACATCAAACTAAAAAGTTTTGCACAGCAAAGGAAACCGACAAAATTGAAAGACAACCTACTGAATAGGAAAAGATATTCACCAATGATACATGCAATATGGGGTTAATATCTAAAATATATAAAGAATTCGTATAATTTAACACCATAAAAACAAACAACGCAATTTAAAAATGGGCAGAGGTCTTGAATAGACACTTCTCCAAAGAGGACATACAAATGGCCAAGAGACATCTGAAAAGATGCTCTATGTCACTAATCACCAGAGAAATGCAAGTTAAAACCACCATGAGACACACCTCACGCCTGTCAGAAAGGCCACCACCAATAAGCCAACCAACAGCAAGTGCTGGTGAGGATGTGGGGAAATAGGAACCTCATGCACTGGGGGAGAGGGGTGTTGCAAACGGTACAGCCACTATGGAAAACAGTATGTTTAAAAATATAACTAACTACCTTATGACCCAGCAATTACACTTCTGGGTTTTTATCCAGAGAAATCCAAAACACGAATTCAAGAAGATCTATGCACCCCTGTGTTCACTGCAGACTGTTTACAATGGCCAAGATGCGGAAACAGCCTAAGTGCCCATCAACAGAGGACCGGATGAAGAGGCTGTGGTGCATATATACAATGGAATATTACTCTGCCATAAAAAAGAACAAAACCTTGCCATTGTGATAACATGATGAACCTAGAGAGTATTATGCTAAGTGAAATAAGTCAAACAGAGAAAGACACGTACCATATGATTTCACTAAATAACAACAAAGACTCAGAGATACAGAGAATAGACTGATGGTTGCCTGAGGGGAAGGGGGTTGGGGAGCTGGGTGAAAGAGGTGAAGGGAGTAAAAAGCACAAATTGGTAGTTACAAAATAGTTACGGGGATGTAAGGTACAGTATAGGAAATCCTATATAATAAAAGGCTAATATGCAAATCGACCAGAGGAATGACCAATTGTTATGACACACACAATGACCACCAGGGGCAGACACTCAACGCAGGAGCTGTTCCCCGTTGGTCAATGTGCTCCCATAGGGGGAGTGCCTCTCAGCCAGAACCGGGCTTATGGCTGGCAAGCACAGCAGCAGTGGGGGAGCGTCTTAGCACTCTGTGGCAGAGCTAAGGACCCCTCAGGGGACCCTAGACTCTGAGAGGGCCAGGCCAGGCTGAGGGGCCCGCCCCAGGGCACAAATGTGGTGACCAGTCCTCTAGTACAGTTGATAATATTGCAATAATTGTGTATGGTGCCAGATGGGTACTGGAAATATCGGGGGTTGGGGGGAGGGAGCACTTTGTGAGGTTGATGATTAGCTGACCACTATGCTGTACACCTGAAACTAATACAAAATAATACTGAATATAAATTATATTTGAAAATTAAAAATTGTTTAAAGATATAATGTTACCTGCTTCAACAAACACCCACTCCACTCAAAATTACTGTATTACATTCACAACAAAAGCATGCTAGCAAAGAGGTTTTCAGAACATTTGAAACAGGACTGGGGGGGGGGGGGGCGGGGGGGAAATCCTAAGGTTTCTAAATTTTAAGCCAGCCACTGCACTAGCCAAACCAGGCGTTTAGCAACGAAATGTTTCGGTTCTGTGTAACTGTCAACCCCATTAGCCAAGGCAGCCGGCTTCCTGACCCTTGCTTCATGCTGGAAGGAGCCTCAAGGCCAGATCCGTACCTGGGCCCCTGGGGAATGCCCAGGGAGCTGGTGCCAACCCTGTGAGCACAGGCAGAGGTATCTTGGTGGTGTTAAAGCTGAGTAACAAGCAAAGCAGCTGGCAGACAGCTCCTGCCAAGCACGCACCAGAGCCCCTCCCACCCCTTCCTGCCCGCCCTCCCCTCCGCCCTGGGCTGGAGGATCTCTCCGGAGAGAACCACCCTCCACCGCAGGCGGGAATGCCGGCAGGAAGCCCCCACCCCAACGCGCTCCCCCGTGGGAGTAAGCACTGCCGTTCCCGGGCCGACAGCCACTCACAAGTCATGGAAGCTGCGCAGGGAGGAGGCCGGGGTGAACACGTCCAGGAGCCCGATGACCTGGGGAGAAGGTGCCAGTGAGGGCCGGGCGGCGCTGAGGCCTCGCCACACCGGAGTCCCCCAAACCCCGCCCCTCCCCCACTCAGGCCTAGCCACGCCTGGGACCATCCGCCCTTTCCTAACAGGAGGCAGGTTCCCAGGGTCCCGGGGAGCAGCTAAGGGGTGGAGGCGGAAGAGGAATCCCTTAACTGGGGGTGAGCCCAGCGATGGAGAGTCAGGCTGGGGAGGCGGGAGGGGGACACTCCTATGCTCACTGCCTCCAAGTGTGCTGTTCCGGGCAAGCAGCACAAAACCACTCTCCCGCCGAGCAGGGACCCACCAAGGCGGAGGGAATCGGGGAGGAACAGGGAAGGGCCCTCCAGCCAGCAGGCTCCCTGCCCTTGGCCTGGGGTCTCCTGCCACTTCGACTCTGGCCTCCAAAGGGCTAGTTGGGAGCCAAGGGCAAGATCACCCCTGGCTGGAGGCCGAGGGGAGGCTGCTGAGGAGCAATGGGGCTGAATGTTGTTTGAAATGCTTGCTTTCCAACCTACGTGTCCCAGAGCAAAGCCTGGCTGTCAGACCCAAGGCTGGGTCGCCCGTTTTCTAGCTGTTTCTGTCAGATAGGACAGTCCGATGCACTGAGGCCTGGAGCCAGGCTGCCCGCATTCAAATCCCAGCTCTGCCACTGACTAACCACACAACCTGTGCGTCTTTCCTGCCTCAGTTTCCCCATCTGTACATGAAAGTTAACAGTACATATCTCAGGTGCTTCTGTTAGGATTAAACAAGCTGGTTTAGGCCAGTGGTCGGCAAACTGCGGCTCATGAGCCACCTATGCAGCTGGCGAGCCGAGGTTTGCTGCTCTGTTGACTAATGAGTTTGCCGACCACTGTCATATGCCACCCTTTACCTCTTTGCACACAGAATGCCACAACCGCCTCATCCTCACAGCTTCCAACACACGGCACCATGTAGTCTGGCAGAAACTCATTCGTGAACAGAGCGGCAAACCGCGGCTGGAGAGCTGCATGTGGCTCTGGAGCCGCAGTCTGCGGACCACTGGTTTAGGCAAAGCTCTTAGAATGGTATGTCCCCGGGTTACGTCGGATATCCGCTCTGCCGCGGGGGGGAGGTGACCGCGGACTGCCTGTGCTGCTCGCCTATTGTTATCAGGCCACACACACAAACATGCACCTGGAGCCTGGCCCAGCTCTGGGACCTGGACCACATTACAAAGTTCCTCTGGGCCGTGTCCTCCCCACAGGGAGGCTGTGGGCTGCACCTCAAGAGGTCGCTCTGCTGCACCGCCACACCCCCTCTGCACCCTCCTGGGAGGCAGGCAGGGCAGGCCCTGCACCTCATCTCCATAAAGAGCTGAGTGCCCGGACCAGGGGGCAGGAGGACGTCCCCTTCCCCGGGCGCTGTCCTGAGCTCTGGCGCCCTGGGCGCTCCCAGCACGGGGCAGGTCGGCCTCGGGTGGGCTCCCCGCCCCCCCAGGCCCCCCGCACCCCGGCCTGGCCTACGTTCTCATGCTGCATGTGCTTCAGCAGCAGCAGCTCCCGGTAGGCCCTCTTGGCGAAGATCTCGGACTGGAAGGGCCGGCTCAGCTTCTTGATGGCCACCTTCTCCCCTGACCGCTTGTCGATGGCGGAGCTGCGGGCACAGGAGGTCAGCAGGCGGCACTTCTCCCCGGGTAGCGCCACCTGATCCTGGGGGTGCCTCCCGGGCCATCCTCGCCCCATCCCGCCGCTCCATCCCTTCCCCTCTCCCCCCGCCGCGGGCCAGCCTAGGAGCCGGGTTGCGGGGCTGCAGGGTGAGGGGATGGCGCCGGGGGCGGGGCCGGGGAGGGCGCCCGCAGACAGACCCCGGGGTCAGAGCCAGGACCGGCCGCGGGAGCCGCACCGTCCCCTCGGCAAGTCACTTCTCCTTCCTCGGGTCTCAGCGCCCGTCCGTAACCAGGGGGGTGCACCCGGAAGAACGCGGGGGTCCCCTGTAACTCCCAGTCCTGGGGAGCCAGACTCAGTCCCGGTTCCACCCACAGCGCCCCACACGCAGGGGAGATCGCCCACCCTCCACCTCGCCCCCGGCCCCCCGACCTGGCCCAGGACCCGCCCGAAGGGCCCTCCGGCCGCGGGGCGCCGGGCCGGAGTCCGGGTGAGGCGCGCGGCCCGGGAGCCCAGCCGGGAGGGGAGGCGGGTCCGGGGGCGCAAAGAGGAGCCTCGGCCCGGCCGGGAGGGCCCCCCGGGTCCTGGGCCCGAGCGCCCCACGTCGGACCGCCCCGATGTCCCCCCCACCCGCGGCCCCGCCGCCGGCTCACCACACGGCGCCGTACGCGCCGCTGCCGACGTGCGCCGGGGACAGGTAGGTCCGGGGCAGCTCCCAGGCGGTCTTGTTGACGTCCAGCTTGTAGAAGCCCTTCCTCCTCGTGAGGCTCATCCCGCGCTCCCTGCACCGTCTCCGAGGCCCGCGCGGCTGTGTGCGCCCCGGGCCCCCGCCGGCCCCTCCCGCCCGGCCGCGCCCCCTGCGCCCGCTCCGCCCCCGGGAGGCGGGGCCCGCGGCGGCCCCACCTGCGGCGCCCAGGTGCCCGCCGCCCGCCCGGGCCTGCCCCTGGCCCAGGTGCCCGCCGCCCCGGCCTGCCCATGGCCCATGGCCCACGGCCCAGAGCCCGCAGCCCGCGGCCCGGCGGCAGGTCCGGCCGCCGGGGCCAGCGCGGGGCGGCGCTCCCGGACCTGGGTCCTCCCAGCTCTCTGCAGTCTGGACTCGGCGGGAAGATCTCTCCGTGAAATTGAAGCCAGTTTTGGAAAAACAAAACTAAACCTCAAGATCCATTGATTACGGAATGTTTCAAACATTCAGAAATAGGCTAAACGGCCTGGTGCTTCTCACACTTGACTGTGAACACGAACCCCCTGGGAATTGTATTTTATTAAAAGACAGCTTCTGCCGAAACTGGTTTGGCTCAGTTGATATAGAGCATCAGCCTGCGTACTGAAAGGTCCCAGGTTCGATTCCAGCCAAGGGCATGTGCCTTGGTTGCGGGCACATCCCCAGTGGGGGGATAGGGTGTGTGCAGGAATCAGTTGATGTTTCTCTTTCATCGATGTTTCTAACTTTCTATCCTTCTCCCTTCCTCTCTGTAAAAAATCAATAAAATATATATTTTTAAAGAATAATAAAAGACAGCTTCTGATGCAGGCGGTCTGCGGTGGAGCCGATTCTGCACTTCTCACCAGCTCCAGGCTCAGAGGGTCTCTGGGCCACAGAGACAGTGAGGTTCCACACCCAAGCCCTCAGCTCAGCAGTTACACCCGCTCCTTGTCACTTTATCCCCTCTACATCCCTCCGCCCTCATTATTTTGAAGCAAAATCAGGTATCATCATTTCATAAATATTTTTGAGTCTCTAAAACAGTGGTCGGCAAACTGCGGCTCTCGAGCCACATGTGGCTTTTTGGCCCCTTCATGGGTGGCTCTTCCACAAAATACCACGGCCTGGGCGAGTCTATTTTGAAGAAGCGGCGTTAGAAGAAGTTTACGTTTAAGAAATGTGGCTCTCAAAAGACATTTCAATCGTTGTCCTGTTGATATTTGGCTCTGAGGACTAATGAGTTTGCCAACCACTGCTCTAAAAGATGAGGGTTATTTTGAAATAATAACACAAGATCCTTTTTACACCTAAAAGCTGTAACAGAAATTCTCTGATAAGCAGCTACCCAGTCCCGGTTGAATGTTTGAAGTTTTTGCTCGCCTCCTAATGGCCCAGCGAGCAACGCCACGCTCAGGGCCTCCGCCGCCTGTGTCTGGTGGCTTGTGCGGCCTGGAGAGAACTCTGTGCTCAACCCAAGTCACAGCGGCCTGCCCGCCGGCCGGCCCAGTGGTGGAACATCAACCTGTGCACCAGGAAGTCACACTTCCGTTCCCTATCGGGGCACTTGCCCGGGTTGCAGGCTTGATCCCCAGTAGGGGGCGTGCAGGAGGCAGCCGATGAATGATTCTCTCTAATAGTTGCTGTGTCTACCTCTCTCTCCCTCCCCCTTCCTCTGTGAAATAAATAAAAATATATTTTAAATAAATCACAGAGGCCTCCCAGGAACAGGGGGCAGAGAATGACTACTCGAAGTCGGATGCGCAGCCCGACTTGTCCAAGCCCTGGCCGGCCTGGAAATGGGGCTGAGGAAGGGGTGGGCACCACTTTGTCAAACAGAGAGAAGGTGGCTTGAGGGAGGAGAGGGACCTGCCCTTGGAGGACCTGCCCCAAGGAGGCCTCACACCTGGTGCCGCAGCCCTGCTCCGAAGTCCCAGAGTGGCACAGTCCAGAGGGCATTGTGGGGAGGGGCACAGGGCTCCCACAGAAATACCCAGCAGGCAGTGCAGGCAGGGAATCAAAAGAAATTTCGGTCATTGTACTGTTGATATTTGGCTCTGTTGACTAATGAGTTCGCAGAATGTTTGTATCTGGCACACAGTAGGATATAAAAATCATGGAGAAAGAATGGAAGAGTCAGTCCATTAGAAGTTAAAAAATGTTTATTTAATGAACACTAGTGCTTGCCATTTGCCAGTCATTACTCTAGGTGTTTTACACACACGGCTCCCTCCATCCTGGTGAGAGGCCTGTGAGTCAGTACTGTTGTTATCCTCATTCTACAGGTGACGAACCTGATGCACAGAGAGGTTAAGTAACTTGCTGAAGGTCACACAGCTGGTAAGGGCAGAGCTGGGCTGAATAAGCTGGCACTGGGTCCAGGCTCTGGGCCCCGGGGCTGTGTGTGTGCCTGAGCTGAGAGGCTTTGCTCCTCGAAGGGAGCAGCCTGTGTGTGAAGTCATCGGCCTTTGCACATCCTGAGGCCTTCTCTGCTGCCCAAACACACATGTCTCCTCAGCACGTCCTGTCCTGACATACGCCCACCCACCTCCCTCCCACCCCTGACGCTGGCCCTGAGACCTGTGGCGGGAAAAGGGAAGGCTCGGGTGCCTGGAGGACTGGAGAGGTTCAGAACATCGGGGTGGAAGGCACCCCAGTTCTCAAGTTGGAGCAGACACCTGGGGGCCAGTGTGTAGGACTGGGCGCAGACAGGAGAGAACTCTCTGGAGACTTGGTTTCCTTCCGGGCTGAGGATCCGGATCTGCAGGGTAGGGGCGGGCTTGCAAACCTGGGTGGCAGCAGCGGGCCCAGAAGGTGAGGAATATCGGGGAGTGCTCATTGCCCCAGTGGGTGCAATCCTGCGAGGGCACAGCGGCCGCAGGCTGTGGCTCCGCGGCCTCTTAGGCAATGGTCAGGAAGTGACTCAGGCGCAGGCGCTGACACTGACCCCACCTCGGCCTCCGCTGGCCGACGTCTGCTCAGCAGCTGAGGGGAGGCCCCTGAGGCTGTCCTGGTGTGGATGTGGTGTCCCTCTGCCTCCCCCCCCCCCCCCCCCCCCCCCCCCCCCGGCCCCGGGGACTCTCCTTCCACGGCCCCTGGGCCTCCTTTTTCTCTGAGCTCTGACCCTCCGCTCTGCCTGCCTTCCCGACATCGGCAGGGTTTGTAGTGTTGGTTTCTGCCCTGTGAATGCCCAGGCCAGGCGGCAGGAAAGCAGCTTGGGAAGGAGCTCCATCCGGGCTGTTATGCAGCTGGGTGACAGGCAAAGCTCCACCCCTCTGAGTCCAGTGCCGCCGCCCCCCCCCCCCCCCAAACAGAAATGAGGGCCAAGCATGGCACCGAGTCCCGGGATGTATCACTCCAGGTGCAGTGCGGCCGCCACCCGGTGAGGCAGGGACACCCGTGCCTCCTGCCAAAGGTCACCAGGAGCGCACCCGGTGAACCAGCGGGGCGTGTGGCTCAGCGCGCAGCGGGCCCGCGGGCTCAGAGGGCTGGCACTGCAGGGCTGCCCTCTGGAGGGCAGGACAAGGTTTGGGGAGTGATGACTGGCTCCTTGGAACCTGCCGTGTCCCCCTTCTGACCCCCCAGATCCATCTCGTCTCTAACACTGCAGCCTCTCTGTCCCAAACGGCAGGGCCAGCAGCTCAGAGCCTCACCGTGGTTGGCCAGGAGACCTGTACCAACAGAAGTCACGCCCCCCGGGGCCCCTCGGGAAGACACAGCACGGGAGCCCACAGCTCTGGCCCCAACCCAGAGATTCCCATGCTCCTCCTCGACTTTCCAAGCCCCACAGACAGTCAAAATCTCAGGGAGGTCGGGAGCAGCAAGGACAGCCTTGCACGCGGGGACCGCTCGGTGGCTTGTTACGTCAGCTGACCTCACCCGAGGGCATTTTCCATGGATTATTAGAGAGAGTGGAAGGAAGAGGGAGAGACACAGAGAGAAACATTGGTGTGAGAGAGGCACATCGACTGGCTGCCTCCTGTATGCACCCTGACCAGGGCTGGGGGACCTGCAACCAAGGTACGTGCTCTTGACCGGAATCGAACCCAGGACCCTTCAGTCCGTGGATCGATGCTCTATCCACTGAGCCAGACCGGCTAGGGCTCAGTGCCCTCATCGTTATATCCACCTCACAGGGTCATCATGAGGACTAAGAGAGACGGCACAAGATGTGTCCAATTCACGCCTGGCGCAGAGTAGGTGCTCCCTGTTCGCTCCTCCCCAGTGTTGTCCGGCTTTGCCCCCCAACCCAGGCGTGTGTCAGGAAGGTTTCTCAAGAGGAGACTTTTGAGCAACACCTGCGTGGCCGAGCAGTGAGCCCTCGGATCTCTGTGGGGGGGGGGGGGGGGGAAACAGGCGCATTTCCTCCAGACTTCTCCACATCTGACCCAGCCTCCACCTTCCCCCCCCCCTCCCCCCACGCCAGCCAGCCGTCTCTGTAAGTCCCACTGGGACCCAGCTCAGTCACCGAGCCATCCCTCCCAGCACCTCTTCCCTTCTAGGGCCGGGGCCGACTCAGCGCTGAGCAGCACATCCATCCCAAGAACAACATCAGGTCTTCTCACAGGCCCCTCAGCTGCAGGAGCTCCCTCTCCGCTGCCCGGCCCCGCCCTTACCTGTCTGCTCCTGCCCTGGGCGTCAGCACCCCCTGGCGGAGGACAGGGGAAGGGCGGCTCTGCCCTGTGGCCTCACAGCTGCCTTGCGGGGCCCCTGAAGGTAGACGTTTCCCCTTCCCAGGCACACCGCCCTGCCCTCACTCCCCACCCGCCCCTCCACCCCGGGACCCGCATCCCTCCCCCGGCTGCAGGCTGGCCCGTGGTCCACCCCGGGAGATGCGGCCTGGGCCTTCTGTGGGACACGGCTCCGCTCCGACCCTGCGCTGTCCTGTGTGGGACTCCGCGCCCCTTCGCTCCAGTGAGGGCTGGGGGCTGAGGCCAAGGGCAGCTGCTGGCCCCAGCCCGTGCTGGCCCGCCGCCAGGTGCTCAGAAAGCTTAGCGAATGGATGAACCAGAGATTTTACATTTTAGCGGTGACATCTGAGCCGTCTCAGCAGAACCTATGGAGAGAAGCCGGTCCTGGGGCAGGAGTGGCTGGGGGTCCAGGGGAGCCCACGGCAGGCCCGTGTCTGGGGGTGCAGCCGGG